TCCATGCTGGTTACCCTTCAGCATTATTTTTCCTGCTGAACTTGCACAAATGTAAGCCTTAATAATTTTTTCAAAGGTTTTCCCAAGGATAGAGGTGAGACTAACCAGCTTATAGTTACCCAGATCCTCCTTCCTCCTCTTTTTGAAAATAGGGACCACGTTGGTCCTTTTCCAGTCTCCTGGGACCCTTGCTGAGCCCCATGAAGGCTCAAAGAATTTTGCTAGTGGTTCTGCTATGACACTGGCTAATTCTTTCAGCACCCTTGGATGAAGATTGTTTAGGCCTGCTTACCTGAACACATCAAGCCCCTCCAAGTGTCCCTTCACTACATCGACACTAACCATTGGTGGGCTGGTGTCCCTCTTGTGCCTGTCTATACTCCCATTTAGTGATATGTCTACATCCATGTTCAGGAATACTGATGCAAAGAACTCAATGAAAAGCTCAGCTTTGTCTCTCCTATCTGTTACTAATTGCCCTAGCCTGTCCTGTAAGGGGTCCTATGTTACCATGCGCCTTCTTTTTGCTCCCTATGTAACTGAAAAAGGACTTTTTGTTGTCTTTATTTTTAGTTGTCAGCCTGAGTTCCATTGCTGCCTTGGCCTTTCTTACTAACTTCCTAAAAGTGTGAGCCAAGTAGATATATTCCTCCTTGGTGGCTAGCCCCTGCTTCCACCATCTGTATGCCCCTTTTTTCATTCCTAGGCTTTCCCAGATTTCCCTGTTGAGTCAAGGTTTTTTGGTCCCCTTGCCACCCTTTATTTGCAATGGGATTGTCACCTGGTACCTATGCATATAGTGGCGTTTCACTTTAATTGCAGAAAAATGCAGATTTCGGGTTTTCTAATTAGAAATTTTGCAATTTTTATCGGAGAATTTCTGATTTTTAAACAGAGAAAACCAGGATTCCTGATTATTACTGATGGAACCTCCCTCTCCAGCACTGTCAAACTGGATCTTGAAGCTATTTTTGGCTAAATGTCATTCTGGATTTCTGTCCTGAGACTGTGCAGGCTAGACAGTTCTAACGTGTCTGAGAAAATCTCCTTTCCAGAACCTGCAGTGGAAAGGGTACCTGTGACAGGGCATCTGACATGCTGCGTCACAACTGGATGGAGCTCAGATGGACTGCTGCAGCGAAGAGGGCACCTTAATCTGTATGGGTGAGGGAAGACAATAAAACAGAGCAGCGCAAGCAGATCCAACTGCCAGGTCTGTGATGGGAGCCTGCACTGATACGGAGCTGCCCTGATAGGTTCTGGCCAATGACCCAGAAGTTAAAAGTCCGGGGGTCAGGTAGGTTAGTTTGTCCCAGAGACACCAGCAGGAGCAGGAGCTCGAGCCCACGCCCACCGTCAAGAGGGGTAGAAATTGACCTGACTCAAAGTTGGGGGGTTAACCAGGACTGAAAGAGAGGAAGGAAGACAGCGGCACTTACCTTAAGGTGACAGCCGGCACAGGAGCTTTGCAAGAGGGTTGGACAAGGAGCTGGGCTGGTGAGTGCAGCACTTCTTGGTTGTTACCTGCAGGAGAGAGTGGAGAAGAGGACCTGTTAAAGGGAACTGCTCAGGAGAGGCAGGTTTTCCCCAAGTGGCAGAGGAACACAGGAGCCGAACCAAGGGACTGTCAGGCTGGCTGTGGTTCACTGATTGTATTTTGAAGAGTTAGGTGAAGTAGCCCTGTGACTCAGATGTTCAGCTGGGATACCAGCCACAGGTTATAGCCATGTGAGCAATCTGAAAAGGAACTGACCTGAGGTCAAAAGGAGGAATAAAAATAAGAACTGACCAGATACCTGGGAACCCCTGAGGCCCTAGGAATCTTTCAATTGGTGAGGACAGGCCATGGCGCGATCAGCGGGCAGTCATTAGAAGCTCATAGGACTGTGTGAATACACTAAGTAGAGACTGTAATGAAGTTTTGCACCTTTGAACATCTGGCATGGTAAGGGCAGGGTATGGGGGATCCCTGTGAAGAGGCTGAAAGCCCTAACCAGGTTGCAGTAAGACCCAAGAGGCACACCTCCCAGTATTTACTTTCTGTTTTGGATTTTTCTTTAACACCAAAGGTGTGGCAGGAGAGTATGAACAGTAACAATCAGGCACTGGACAGCCTGGCTGCAACTTAGTTTCCATGGTAGCCTCAGACTACCACAGGATCACACTGACCTAAACTCTCCAGCACAAGCTGGGGTTCTGTGGCAGCCTCCCTGACAGAAATACTACCTAATACTATAGTAAGCGCATAAGCACTACTGCAAGTTTTTTCTCTATAGTATGCCTGCAAATCTGTTGGACCAACCAACCTCCCTTCATCATAGCACTGGGCTGTGTACTAGGGCTACTACCCCTGCTCCATCATTTACTGCTCCAGCTGCTCACGAACCTTCACATTCCAGTGTCCCTTGTTATGGTGGGATGGGACATGTGCTTCTCCCGAGGAAAATCTAAGGTCTCTGGATGGGAATCAGACCTCACCTCAGCTGTCTTTCCTGGCTAGTGCAAGGGGAGCTAGACCCAATGATCTTTCTAGGTCCCTTCCAGCCCCTTACAATCTATGAAAATCATTGTAATTCAACACATCTGGCTGCTTCTTGAGATTTAAACAGGGAAGTGCTATCTAGTCAAAGTGCCATAGGTGTGGAGGCAGGCAACCGAATGGTGAAGCAATGTGGTATGGGACAGCAGTGAGATGACTATCCAAACAAACAAAAACGTCTCCACATAAACCCTAGAGCAATATAACTAATTCTAAAACTATGCCATTTTCAATGCAATGTAATTCACATGGAATAAGATGCCAGATAAATAAAAACAAGAATTTTCGTGTGTGGACACAAAGTAGTTCTGGATAAAAAAAATGAAAGTATGTTGGAAAAAAAATGCTGTTGACAATCCTAAGGGCCAAGCCCTCCCTACCTGGTACACTGACTGTGTATTGAGGAAAAATATAATCTTCCTCTAATCTAGGCCCTAAAACAGCAGTGGAACCACTCCATGGCCAAAGTTTCAACCTAGTAAAACTCCTGAGACAACCAAACAATTTGTCCTGGGTCCAGGCATTCCAGGGTGCCCAGACTGGCCATTTCTTTAATGGGTCATGAATGGCCTTTTCCATAAAACTTATTATTCTTCATTTATACTGACACCGTGATAAGGCTGTATTAGTCTTGCTTAAAATACAGCAAAATAACTATCTATATAACAATACAGAGAAATATGGATGCCAAGTTGGGAAGGAGGATTGACTTAAGAACTCACATTGGGCCCCCCAAATTTCTATGAGCACAAATGCTATACCTGCAAGCCACGTCAGACATGCAGGATGACTGCTGTAATACGTGCTGCTCCTCGGCATCTTACGTATTCAGCATCCTCACGCTTCAAAATGGCAGCGGGGGCACTTTAACTAAAGCTAACTGAATAAGTGGGATACTGAATATATGAGAGCTGCTCTAATTAAGGTCCCGCCCCCACCCCCCAAGTATATGTAAAGAAGCTTGCTTGCCCAAATCCCTAAAAGACCAATTATTCCATCCTCAAGTGAATCAATAATACATTGTGTACTGTGTCTCCTGTGGATTGGAGTTAGGGAAAAATTTCTTATATTGAATAATCTCAAAACAAACTTAGGAGGTATTATTATTAACTCAATTACAGATATGGGAACTTAGACATAGTGCAACAAATTCAACCTTGCTGCTAAGGCTCTGACTGTGAGCTGGGGAAAAGCAAACTTACGATGAGGCATAGGGAATCCATTCTGCCTGTGTTTGCCTCATACAAAATTCTCCTCTTTCATTGAGGAGTTAGGACACCCCTGCAGGCCTTCCTGTTCTGCCATGCAAAAGACACAGCAATATTTAGGCACCTCCAGTGACACCCTATTTCACCTCTCCAACCTTTCAATGAGTTTTAATCCATGCTGAGGCATGCCTACCTAGTTGCAATTCTACCTAATCTTGGTGACATCAGTTAGGCACCCCAAAACTGCCATTTAAGCAGAACAAAGCAGCACCTTGCTCAGTGGGGGTATAAGTACACGGGCCAGAACCAAACAGCAGACTGGTAGGAGAGCAAGGAAGAAGACCCTGCCATCCTGGCTCTTTGTCCCAAATTAACCACTAGGTCCGCTTCACCCTATGTTGCCCTGAACTGGCTATGGGAATGCTACACCTGTCCACGTCACTCACTGAACTGCCAGAGGACTCTGAGGAAAATGAAACCATCAACAGAGTGGATAAAAATAAATTGTTTTTTTTTTAAAAAATAGGATTTTTTTTAAAATTTAAAATGTATTTATTTTTTAAGATGCTTTAAAAAAAATAAACCCATATAAAGATGGTATTTTAGCTAGCTTTGCATCATGACCTGGACGGATGGCACCGTGGTGGCCCTGTGAAGACACGCGGAGACATCGCACTCCTTGAGGAGAGCACCCCCACATGGCATCACCTCACCGGGTCACCCTGCTTCGCAGTGACGTCACGCGGCTTGGACACAGCGGGGCACGTGGCTCTCGGACCCTTCCAGCAGCCTCGGAGCGCTGATTACTAGAGCCACGTCAGTGCCACCTGCTGCAAGGCTGCCCGAGGGGCCACGGGGCCAGTCGCCAGAGCTCAGCCTCGCTTGCCTTTGAAATTACCTCCACTACGTCACCACGCGAACCAACAACCCAGCCCACAGCAACGACCCCACGGCTCCGAACTGCTGCGTATGCGCCTCACTCCCGGAACCCCTCCCACGCTTCCAACGGCCGCTGGGCGTGAACCAGCCAATGGCAGGAGAGCTCTGGGCCAGGCTCCGCCCCGTGGAAGGTCCCACCCAGCCGAGCCGCGGCGCAGGCGCAGTCTACCGCGAGCCGTGGGCTGCCGGCAGGTGCGGGCGGGCTGCGGGAGCGAGGCTGGCGGCTCCCGTGAGCAGGCGCTGTCCGCCGGCCGCC